TTTCTCTTCATGTTTTATTTATTTATTTATTACTTCCTGTAATCAAAGTAGCAAAGGAAATGGAAGACCTGAGGTAGTGGGCTAGTGGATGCAGGACTTAAAAGGTTAATAGCATCACTTAGTTTAGCTCAAGGAAACGCAATCACCACCCCAAAAGGGAAGTTTTCTCCAGTCAGCAGAAAAGGGACCAATGAGAGAACAATGGAAAGGGGAACAAGCATGATAAGGAGTTGCAAGGGTATGCAAGGTAGGGGAAATGCTCTAAACTGGGACAAAGGTCAGAAGAACATAGCGATGAGGACTACTGACTTCATCCAAGAATGACCACCAGGTGGGGAGGAAGATGTCAGTCCTTCATCCAATGACCACCAGAGGAGGCTGCTGCGCATGCGCCAGGGGGAGGGACAATATGTAAATGATTTATCAGAAAAATAATGAATATGCAAATGAATTCTTGGAAATCTGTTGAATATGTGATGAGCTTGGCTCTTAAATATGTAATGCATCTACTTGCAGGTGTGCAAGTTAGGAGAAGCGATTCTCATTGCACCCAGCATGTGCGCAGCACTGAAATGAACATACCTGCTTTGTAACTGTATGTGGGTTATAGAGTCTGATTCCGCAAATCAGAATGACTTCCTTTCATAAACAATCCAGCATCCACAAGCAGAGCAAGCTTCTGAAACAATCAGAGCCTCTCACAGCTTAAACTAAAATTTAATACTGAGGTATGTAAAGGCTTGAATAAGTCTAGTTACCAAGCCATGTCTGCTCTTCTGGGCTCTGTACTCAAAGCTTGAGAGGTCTGTGTGTTAGTGTGAGTGGCTGCTTTCTGATCCTGTTTGTATAATGTGAGAGAAGTGTTGGGATGCCTTGGTTACAGTGTGGTGAACATCATGAAGCATAACACATCTACTTTCTTTAGTATCTGCCTTAGAGTAGTTGATAGGAAAGTAACATCCATGCCAAGTACCTTTATCTGTAATTTTACTAACTGTTGATCTGGAGTTGCATAATTTTGTCTTGAAGTAGTTGATTAATTGTTATTAGAAAGCTTGATAAACTATCTTGTATTGTTCCTCTGAAGTAGTGCCAGCTTACATTTTAGAAGCAACTGCTGTCAAGTAGGCAGTGCCCTATTTGAAGGATTCCAAAGACTCGTCTTCCTTGTAACCCACCAAGTAAGATGGGACATCTGCTCTAGTGATGCCCTTACCATTTAGCCAAAATAGGTACATTAATGTTAAGTTAGCCGTTTAGTTACTGCCACATCTGATTATAGGAATAGTAAATATTTGCTCTGGTTTGGCAATTTAGTTACTGGTCTTTCTTGGCACAGAAGTTCCCGTGCTGTGATTCTGGGGCCTCTTGATGCCTTGTGTTAACTTAGTGATGTGTAAGTTTTTCATACGTCTTGCACACCATCAAATTACTTCGTGCTTTCCCCATGTTTTTTCTATTTAGGTGTTTTCTGGCTCCAGTATGCAGGGCTACAGACTTAAAGTTATAATGTTCATCAAATGAAGTATTAAATCTTGGAATATCTTATTTGATTCAGTAGACCAAAACAGTAACTTTTTTTTTTTTTGTGGTTTAGGCTTCATTTACGAGACCTGCTCTGAATGAAATACCTTGTTTTATTAGTTTGTGCCACAATATCAGAGGTGGATGTTGATGGGATGGCAGCAGGGACTGACCCCACCAATATCCTGTTACATTTTGTAGTCTTGTAACTGATAGCAGCAGAGGGATGGTCTGACAAAATTGTGTCTGATGTACAAGTGCATATGACACCCTCTATGCAAAAGAAGTGGGACCTATTGACGTTTATTGACACTTGTTAAACATTTTTCTGGAGACCAAACAGTGGATGTGAGTACAGTGAGATGGTGGATGGTGTTTCAGCAGTGGTGACAGTGATAGTGGGTCACTCCTCTGGTGCAGATATTGACAAATCAGGCATGCAGGCTCCTGTTCATGGCTGATGAAAATGCAGAACTAATGGTGGTGACTGTGTTGAAAAGTAGTGTGTTAGAGGAAATTCTCAGCTACATCAAATAGTGTTATTGTGGCTATTGTAGTTTAAATGACAATAAATAGGAGGCATTACTTTTGGAGTGATCTAAGTATTTTTCCTAGTGTTTTGTCCTAGGGAAGGGTCTCCTAAGAATAAATAATTAGGAAAATTGCCAGTGGAAACTGAATTTTTTTTCCCTTTTTATCATAAGTAAATTTAGACAGTGTGTAAACTAAGTTTAATAGAAAACCAAAGGAAACAGATTTCCACTCTGAGTGTATTCTTTTTCCTCTTGAGCATTTAACCTTAGAAAAGAAACTCATTCCAGTTCAACTTGGGAATTTGGACCAACCATGTAGAAAACTCTCAGATCTCTCTGCAGGTGGAATGTGAGTTTTCCAGGAAGAGTGATTCAGGGAAAATGGTTAATGTGGAGGCTAGAGGCACAATTCAGACTGAAAGACAAGTCTACGTGCAGGTACTTCAGTTGCGTAACAGGGAATTTAATCCTGTTGCTGTTACTCCCATGTTCACTGAGAATCTTTCCATTTCCTTTATTTGTAGCCTCACTGGAAAACTGGCGTGAACCCATGTGTGATATTCGCTGATGATTTTGGGAGTTTGGCGTTCAGAAGAGAATGTAGGAAGTGAACTGATGCAAGTACATTTGAGTAGACTTCTCTTTATCTTTTAGGATCTTGTTCTGATATTGATCTTCTCAGTCATTTTTCCTAAGGCATATACTTTCTGCCAGATACCACTTTAAGTGGCATGTTTGGATATATTAAATTTACATAATATTTTTAAGTTGTGGTCTGTTGTGGACTGAATGTTGTCATAATCCATCTAGCGATCATGAACTAAGGCAGTATTACTCATCTTGGTCTTGGCAGTGACAAGAATTGGGTTTTACTCTTGACTGGGTTGTGCACTGCATGTAGACAGTTTCTCCTGTTTCCTGCTCAACGATGTCTGACTTTTGTTCACACATCTAAATCATGCTTGTGGAATGTAAATCTATTGAACAGTTTCAGCAGTTACTGTATTCAAGGAGGTGATTGTTTTATTGCGTGATTATTTATCAGGAAATCTCCAGTTGAATGCTGTTGATCTGTAATCTTCAGCTTGAGTACAGAAGGCTGTATTTTCACCTGAGCTGCATACACTAGTGTAAATATTGCTTTAATATTGCTTGAAGGATCTGTGCTGTTTTAGTGTTTTTGTTTCTTTCCAAATTGCATAAGCAGCTTTGTTTTCCGGTTTCATTTTGTACTGATGCCTTTTGAGAGCACAAAGTGAGTCCTTACAGCTATCTTTAAATCTTGAAAATAATGCTTGGGCATTCAACTAGACAGTTCTTAACTTTCTGGCTTTTATAGATTGCATATGACTTGTGCTTCAATTCTAAAATTGAAATTGGGAGAGAATTTTCAGTCTCAGAGCCCTCAAAAGAAAAAGTAGAGATAATGGTTGACCTCAGGGAAATTGTGTGAAATGTTTTGTGGAGAAATTAAGTCTAACACCCAGCGTTTTTGCCCATGAGTTGCTGGGTTTTTTTTTTGTTTGTTTGTTTAGTTTTGTTTTTTTGATAATGTTTTTCTTTTGCTTTGGAGGTACTTGCTCTAACAAATTTATATTTGCCATTCGAGGTAACAGCTGTACCCAGATGGGTTTATCATTTTCATTATACGAGGACTGCTCTGAAAGTAATGCTTTGTTTTATTGTTCTGCCCCACAATGTCAGGTGGATGTTGGTGGTATGGCAGAAGAGGTTGAACTTTCCCACCAGTATCCTGTTAGGTTTTTTTGCCATGTGACAGATGGCAGCAGAGGGGTAGCCTGACATGGAAGTGCAGCTGAAACAAAGGTGTGTCATTGAATTCTTTCATGTGGAGAAAGAATTGTGTCCACTGACATTCATCAGTGCTTGCTGAACGTTTCCGGAGACTAAACGGTGGATGTGAGTACAATGAGGTGTGGTGGGTGGTGTGCTTCAGCAGTGGTGACAGCAAGAGTGGATCATCTCCACCGGTGCAGATTTCTACGAGTGTGGCATGTAAGTCTTGTACATTGCTGTCAGAAATGCATTGCTAATGGTGGTGACTGTTAAAAAGTAGTGTTTTGTAGTGTAGAATTTTCTCTATTAAATACTGTTATTGTGCTCTTTATATCTGCTGTAGTTTCCATGGAAATAAATAGGTCACTCTGAAAGCAACCTCCTTTGTAAATTATGGACTGTTAACACATGAGGAGTTAGATCGTGTCTGTCACCTCCTGAATGTGTACTCAGCAACAGGAGAGATGATGTCTTGCTCACGCTTCATGCCTTCAAGCATACTAGGTGAATGGGACTTAACTTTTTGAACTGAGGCTATTTTCCTTGTAGGCACATATGCTGTCAACAAGTGTCATGACTTACATTTCTCAAATCAGTAACTGACCGCAGCATCAAAGAAGAGAAAATGCTATGTAAAATGAAAACAAGCAGGGTACATTATTACAAGAGATATCCATTTTCTCCTTTCTTTTGTCACATTTGAAGGAATAATTGAAGCTCTGTCTTGCATAGAAACCCTGTATTATATTCTACAGAATCCTCTGCTCTTAAGCATTGCTTAGTGCATCTGCGTGAGATGATACAATATTTTTCCCATCAGATTTCAGTGTAAATATAAGAATATAGTATTACATTTTTAATTCCATTATTCAACATTTCAGAATAATCTGAGGATTTTGTTTTTCATTAATCAATCAATAAAACTGTTAACTGCTGCTCTGTCTCTTATAACTTAACTGTGCTCTGGGAAATTATCTATGCAGCTTGATATTAATAATGCTGATGTCCACAGAATGTTCCAATGGAGTTTCTGTTCTGCATAGCAACTTAAGTTGAACGGTTCTGTTTGTTATGGATTTTAAATTCCTTCTTGGTAAGTTGATGTAGGTCTTGATAGAAAGATTAAAGTTTTGTTCTTGTTTTTAGAATTTCAACTGTGGACTTAAGAAAAGGAGATCAAGAAAAGATGGACTGGAATGTAAGACCACTCCAGAATGCAGATGCACAGAATAACCTGCAAAGTCAAGAATCCTGTTACACTCAAATGCTTTCTAATGCACAAGCTTTTCCTCAAACAAATGCACTTTCTTCTGAAAATGCATGCAATTATGTGGGAAATAACCAAGTGTATCTACCAACTGTTAATACTGCTTTACCAGGAACATCTGTAGCCATAAAAAATTTTCTTACCTCGGAATACTCAGTCAATCAGTCTCCACCATCCTATGTACCACCTGCACCGACACTTCCCAATCAGACATCACGTGCACAGGGGGAGATGACTCAGAACTCTTGGCAAAACTCTGGTAGGCTTATTTCTTCTCATAGAAAGCTTCCTCTCCTGTCTTCTCAAATGAGTGGTGGAAACAGCGTGCCAAATGTGTTTCGAGGACCTCATTATGCCACTTCAAACAGTTATGCTGTTTGTTCACAAACATCACAGCAGCGTTCTCTGAGAACTATGTTGCATCAAAGTAACCGTGAATGCATTAATTCTTCAAAGTTGGGGTGCGTCCCGCAGTATAACACAAATACCTCTGCTTCTTCTCAAAGCATTTCTGTTCCTGTCAATCAGTCATCCAGTCAATATCTCCATCCCCAGAATAACTGTCTCTCTTTCGGTACAACTGGGCAAATGCATAATTCCAATAATCAGATTCAGTTTTCACAGTCACTGAGTCAAAATACTGCAACAAATGTACAGTTGCCACAATATGTGCCAAGTCAGATGGGATCAGGAGCTCCCAGTGGATGTTCTGCACCATCTTTGTTGCCTGCCAACTATGATTCAAAAACTGTAGCACAACCTTTGCTAGGTGCACAGCATACAGTTCACAATGTGTTTAATAAATACCCTCTCCAGGGCTGCCCATCAGACAAAAAAAGTGCTTCTGGTTTTAACAGTGTTCAGCAATACTCACTGAAACATCAACTGGGAGAAGTCAGTCAAGGCGTTAGGAATGGCTGTAATTCAAGTGGAAATGTGACAGTAAATCAGCTCTTTAGTGACAAGTCTGCACCCCCCACCGACATTTCCTCAGAACTTTATGATATTATGCAAGGAGCAGCACCTTTTTCTTCAATGGATGCTTCACAGCCACTGTGTGATCCTGTTTCAGTTCAAGAAAGGCAGACTACTAGTTCAGTGAATGTGCCTGCTAATTCTCAAACTTCTTTAGCAAGAGAAGATAAAAGAAAAATGACGAGTGACACTCTAGCTTGGGAAACTCAAAGACTGCAAGTTATTAAAAGAAAATGTGCTCTGCTTGAAAGGATGCACCAGTATAGAAGAAAATTTTTGACTTCAAAATGTGACAAAAGCACTTCCACGCTTCCTCCAAGTTATGAAAATGCACTCTCTAATCGTCTTTCTCAGATGCCCAAGCAAAATGTAGTATCTTCCCTATCACAGGCAGTGAGGACAGACAGTCAGCAGCACTCTATTTTTGGATCTTCACCTGAAGGAAGAAATGACAAAAACATAATTGGTGGTGACAGCAGAGGGTTAGAAGTGACTCAGGGTAATCATCAGGTAGAGCAGGGAAGCCTTTCATCAGGGCCCCTTCCCATTCCTTCCCACAGTGAACTTACAGCTCTATTAAATAATCCTGAGAATTCTCCCATCTTGGACCAGAAGAATGCCTTGGCCTCTTCTCAGAAAATGCTGACATCCTTGAATGATGCTTCATGTCACAGTCAACCGAATAGCTCTAGCAGAGATGCAACAACAAATGTGGAAAGTTATCCTGAGAACTCAGCATTTCTTCAGTTTGTATTGAGCAGCACAAATATGTTAAAAGAGAAGAAAGCTGGTACTATTGCTGATAACATACTGACTAATCTCCTTTCTAATGAAAAACAACAGGTAGATTTAACAGGCTTGGGTGGAAGCTTATTAAAAGACACTAGTGAGAAAGGTGATTTGGTATCTACGGTCCACACACACAATCCCGTATCAGGAATGATGGAATCTAATGCAAATAAATTCCATGGTGATGTAGCTCAGAAAAAAATGCAGTTTTCTGAAAGTCCGTGTTTTAAACAGAACAATGGTAATTATTCTCTAGAAGAGCTAACTGCATGCCTAGGCTTATGGAAAAAACAAGGTCCAGAACCTGTGAGTGTTCAAAATAGCCAGTCAGATGAAAACACTGCAGCAAATCAGATCTCATCATTACCTCACAGCCAAAACACAACAAATAAGAGAGAACAAGGTAATCTTCTGGTTAGCACAGATGTAACAGTCTTGCCTTTAACAACCACTTCCATAGGACAAAAACATGACATGTTAAGTTGCAATTTGATAAAAGGTTTAGAACTTCAAATTGCAGTTGTCTCTCCTTTAGTGCTTTCTAATCAGAGAGCTCAGAGTGAACAGGTAGACAAATGTCCAACATCTGCAGATAAAACCTATCCAGTGATTGACACAGGAAGCATACGCAGCATGCAAGAAGAGGGGAAAAATGTGGTAAATACTGATAAAGGAACAATAGAAAGTGTTTCTTCATCACCTGATGACTGCATTCTGATACAGACGGAGGACCCATGTTTACAACAGACCAAATCACCTGATGGAAAGAGAATAGTAGAAAACAGTATGAATGCAAATAATTCATGTGGTGAAAACAAAAGGAAACTCAGTCAAGCCATGAGAGATGCTGAAGAAAATCTACAGAACAAACTTCTTCCTGAATTGGGCCAGAGTTTTTCTAGTAAAACATTCCAAGAAGATATAAAAGACCATGATGGCAAGAAAGCAGTGGTAGGGACACAAAATAATACTCCCTCAGCTGTGATAGAAGAACAGATGTTCCATATTGCTAGCGTATGTTCCCTTGTTGAAGGTGATAAATCATATAATCCACAAATAGCGAGCATGTTCAGCTCGGTCCCTCAGACACATGCATTTAACAGTGGTACCCCATCAGAAGAAAATGCGTCTGACCCAAGGCAAAAGGAGCAGCTGATGAAATTGAATAAAAATGACCTGAGGGAGAACGCTCCTCAGCGAGAGACCTTGCTGCAGAAAGCATTGCGAGAATCATCATGCTGCATTAGTGAAATAGATGAGATTTTGAATAGTACTATAACTAGCCATTCTAAGAAAGAAAGCAGTGGCAAGCTTCCTAGCACAGTTTCTACCTCAGAGCAAAAAAAGCCAGTAAATACATTTTTCAAGTATCCTGAAAATGACTTGGGAATTCTTGCTAGTATAAACCAGGAGTTAGCTAGAAATTCACTAGATTCCTTGGTAAGCGTAACTGCTGAAACAAATGCATTCACTGTTACAACATGCAGCAGAAAAGAAAATGTCGCATCCACTAAAAAGAGCGTAGAAGAGCTACATGTTTTTGGAGCAGAGCCCATTACATATCTAGATAATCAGCTTACTGAACTTATGAAAGAATTTCCATTTGGCATTGAAGGGGCTGATATTCTGACAAAAGAACCAGCAAGAAACAATTCTGTGGCTGAGCAGAGAGAGAATCAAGCTCAAAAAGAGACTCATGTTTCTGCCAAAAAAACTGATTCAAAGAACCCAATAGATCAGCTACAAATTGCACAGTTAAACTCTGGTCAGGTGCAGGAGTTACTTCCTGAAAAGAAGCTATGTTCTTCTACTGAAAACAGTGGAGCATTGAGTCAACAGTCTGAAAAGACTCCAACCCAGGAGGGCAGCCTTGAATGCAGTGTTCAGCCCAGTCAAAGTCTATGTAAGGAGAAAGAAAACCCACAATCCCCTTCCAGCTCCGGAAATAAAGAGGTTTGTAGTTTAATGGGTTGTCTATCTGTGTCGGGTGAAATGTCACAGAGCTCCTGTAAACGTAGAACTTCTGTTTCAGATAAAAATGCCGAGCAACTTTCAGAAGCTGAAAACACTAACTCTGCAGGAAGACAAGAAAACAACAGTAAATCTGATGCCATAATGAAGAACAACAGTGTGGTAGAAAACCCACCAATTTGTGAAAATGTTCAAAATAGCATTCAGAAAAATAAAAAAGATGTATGCAAATACACCTCTGTAACAAATGAAAAATCCAAGAGGAACAACGAACACAAACCACTTTCACCACAACTGGGAAAAATTGGGCCACTTAATTCCTCTGAAAAACAAGATGTTAATAGTTCAAAAAGCAGTAACTTGAAGGAAGAAATGCAAGAGTCTGGAAGAACTCCGTTGTTAAAGAAAGAATTTTATTGTGACAAAAAAGATCATCAGAAAGTCTCAGAAGGGGAGTTGTCAGAGAAAGCTGGTTGTACAGACACAGATAATATGATGAAGTCATCTGAAAAGAAGGAGAGAATTTTCAAAATGAAGTCCCTTTCAAAAGATAAAACCAGAACAGATTTGGCCACGAAATCCCAAGGAGACCTTCATAAGTATACAAAGTCAGAGAATGTTGCAGTTAAGCACAGTGAAGTCTGTAAAGGACAAAAAAGAAAAATCCGTGACAAGAATACGAGTAAAGAACAGAACTGCAAGAAACGAAATGTAGGAATTAATACTGAAGGGAAAGCAAAGTTATCTCCAGAAATAAAACGTGAAAAGGTGAATAGTTGTCAAGCGGAAGCTATGAAGTTCCCAAACTTTGGCATTAGAGACTTAAAGCCAAGCAACAATACATTTTCTCAGCATAAATCTATTAAAGCACATCCGCCACAGGAGGAGTCATGCAAACGAAAGAGGAAGGATAATATGATTGGAAAAACAAGCTCAAAAAAAACAAAGGTGAAAGATGAAAGGCTAGAACAGTCTGAAACAAAGAATTCCAAGCGGCATTCAAATGATCACAAGAAAAATACTGACAAGACTAAAAAGCTGAGTGGAGAAAATGTCTGGAAACCTAAGAATTCATTAGCAGATCGCTCTATGCTTAAACTACAGAGAAGAAGGGGTCTATCTACCATCTCCAAAAACCACTTTTCTAACAAAGAAAGACATCTTGATGGCCAAAACAAAGACAAGTGTTCCGAGAAAATGTTTTCTGATAAAAACTTGCTATATTTAAACAGAAGAACAAACAGATTAAAATTACATCTTCAAAAGGAACCCAAAAAACACTACCTAAATAGAGTTGCGTTTAAACGTACTGCTCAGGAACGCATATTTCTGACAAAGTTGGAGACGTCACCTGTCAGGCCTGTCTTGCATGTAAAGTCTGAAGTATCACAACATAGTCTAGATTCAAAAAGAGATGCTTCTCTCTCTGAAAATGAGAAACCAGGGAAACGGCAAGTGCTTGAATTTAAGCTGTGTCCAGAGATACTGTTCAGAAATTCAGTCACTGATGATGAAAGCTTAGCTGCAAAGAATTTTCTGGAAAAAGAGAAAACTACTGTGGCAGGTATGATGAATATGCACTTCAAAAGGAATATGTTTGTAGTTCAGATTAGGTTGAGAATCATGAGTTTTAGGTAGAATGCTTGCATGTAAAACTGAGTCACTCTGAGAATTTTGGATATCCTTTTAATTTGTTTTCCCAAATAATTAAGACATTTTTGTAAATGAAAATATTTTTGTGTTTATGTTATACAAAATTACATATATTGAAAATGTGGGACTGTAGAAGCTGTTGACAGTTGAAATTGCTTATCACAGAGCTGCAGAATCACAGAATTGCAAGGTTTGGAAGGGACCTCAGCAGATCATAGAGTCCAGCCCTCTAGCTTTCTGACGAACTGTAGCTGTGTGTTAAGTTGAAAAAAGTGGGGGATGTTCCATTTCAGATTTTATTCCTCTTCTTTAGACTTCACAGAACAATGTTAGTTTAGAACATGGTTGTTTCAAACAACTTTACAAGAAGGGTTTCTATCCTATTCATGGCGACTAGTTTGGCTTGTTTGTAGACAGCAGATTCTATTGGTGTTGCTACCAAAGACGATCTGATTTGTATCCATTGTTAGCTCAGGTTTGTGTAAATTTAGCTGGAGGAGGAGGAAGAGATGTTCTGAGGCCTTGAAGAAGAAGGCTTGGGCTAGATTTTTTTTTTTTTTTTTTGGCTGCTGCAGCATTTTCTTAGTCTTTGTAACCACTACCGTATTTGCTATAAGTTGTCTTCCTCTTCCTACCTATCCCAATCTTTATGCATTTTAAGCAGTGCATAAAATGTGAGGCATATACATGTCTAACATGGAATTTGATTATAAACAAATAAAAACAAGTCTCAATTTGTACTTAGCAGCCCTTGCAGTCATCTTTGTGCCCAAAGATGCGTGTGGTAGTATATATGTTATTGCCTAATACTGAGTAGAGACCAATGTTCGTCATAAAGGAACTTCAATAAAAAACCCTCTTAATTTTCTTCTTAGGTGTCAAGAGTAAAAAAGAAGATTGGTTAAAGTATGATTCGGTGAAGCAAAAAAAGTTGAAGGAGATCTTTACAGGTGAACTGGCTTTTGATTGTTGATTTTGAAATAAAAGTTGAATACTCTGCTTGGTTTTAAGTTTTCCGATAGAACAGCCATTTTAAATGAACTATTTCAATTGATTCCTTAGTAACTCTGCCACCAAAATGGGTGCTGTTGAGTAGACATCCAAGTTTCAAAACTTGTGGAAATCTTTATTGTCGTGAGAATACGTTGTTGGAGATTAGTGGAATTTTCTAGTATACATGTCTGCACTTGAATCATAGGTAGCATTGGTGATGAGATTTATCTAGAGCTGTAAATTGTAGGCAAAACCCAAGCTGGCTCTTGGCAACTTTTGCATTAACCTGCTTCTCTCTCTGTCTTTCAGCTGAGGACTGTATTCCACTTGATACAGCCATAGAAATACTGGAAGGAGATGACAAGGCTCTTCACATTCCGACGAAAGACTCCAAACAGATGTTTCAAACCTACAGGAAAATGTATCTGGAAAAAAAGATGGAAAAGCCTGGATAGCACTCCTGTATCATACATCATACTTGATACTACTGGGAAAAAAATGCTGACATTAGGATTCTTTTTCCAGTTTACTTCATTTTTTTGCATAAGTGTTCATATTTGTTCAGCAAGTTATCAACAAGTTATTATTGCTAATGAATGGGAAGTTACTTAATGTGTATTTATTGCACAATTAGGCTTTGGTGCTGAAAATGTCATTGTCAAATGTTGTACATCTTTTTGGCATATTTGATTTTTTTTTTAATACAGGAGATAGCTGAATCTTGAAAAAAAATAATAAAAGATAAATTTAAAAAAGACCCTCAAAGTCATTTAAGTAATCATGATCTGTTTTCTTTTCTGATTTTGGAAAAATTCAGCTTCTGATACTTTCCATTGCTGGCAGTGGAAAAATATTTCTACTAGAAAGGGATTACAAGGATTCTCAGGCATTACATGTTTATTTTCTATTTATGCTAGTTTGATTTTTGTTCATCTAGCAACGCTTTCAGTTATTTGTAGAAATTTTTTTTTGTAAACTTGGAATACAGATATAAAACCCTTAAGCATGAAGATAAGGGAGTACCGTGAAGTGTTTATGCTGCTACTCGGTTTTCTTAAATATATTTTTGTAGAAATTATAGAAGTTGAACTCTGAATTCTTCATCTGGATGCAGTGCGGTAAGCTGACAGCTCACTGAAGAATCTTCCCTACTTCCTTCCCTCTCTTTCTGCTTTCTTTATTCCTGAACAAAAAGTACAGTGGTTGAAGTGCACGGAGTTTAAATTCACTTCTGTCTGACTATGATGCTCATTTTGACCAGACTGTAATTAATTCTTTGTTTATAAAGTATTAGCTGATGTTTGACTAAGGATTCACTGTGACATAAGGATTATATTATTTGTTGTATGTCTTTTTTTAAGTGCCTTTTCAGTGTTGTTCACAATTTTGAATTGTACTCTTTTTTTTTTTTTAGAATTGTTCTGGTTCTTTTAATCTGTTTACGCCTTTGTACTGAAAGTAAAAATGCTATAGATATTTTACTGACTGACTTTTTAATACTTGAAATAAACTTTCAAAGGCTATGCCTAATCTTTTTTTAGTTTAAGAAGTATATGTTACTGTTAGCTAAATAAGCACTGTAGGTAATCTTGTAGATCAAACACAGCTTTAAAATGAGTTTCAGATCTTCCTCCTTTGAAAGGTTTCATAGTTAGGAGCGAGAGCTAGCCTCGAGTCCAAGCTTTCTGAACCAATTAAACTAACAAAATGTACTTAGATTTCGGAAAACACAAGAATATTTTTCTCTTCCTTTTCTGTTCTGTCTTGAATTAGCATCAGTACCTGAAGAGCTTTCAGTATTACTCCAGTCATGAAGAGGTATGCTTGTAGGGATCTTGGGTATAATAATCCAGCAGAGCATAACATTACAATTTCCTACCTTTCTCTGTACACTGAATTGGGGAAAACAAACAAACAAACAAAAAAAACCCGAACAGCTCACTTGCTGTTTCTTCTCCTCCTTATACCATTGGCTCAAGCTGTGGTAATAAAGCAAGTCCTTGATCTCAGTCAGGCAAGGTGTTGAGATCCACGTAGATATGGCCACTATGAAAAAAACTAGTGCTGTGTTGTTTGAAGAAAACTGACACATATGAACATGAGGGCATCCACTTGCACTGAAAATATCCATTATGAATGCAAATCGTGGCTGTTGTCTTATGTTTCCTGTGTCTGAAAGAACATATAATATGCATATCACCAGTGGGGTTGCATTGTGCTGATCATAGATCCTGTTATGTCTCTGGGAACACCAATAGACTTTGAGGGTCCTGCTTGTCCTTCTGTGAGCACCCACGTTCCTGCTTGTGTGTCCAGGAATTCCATGTAAGCTCCAGCCTGAGCCTTCAGTCCCTGCCTAAGTGATGTCTGGGAAGTACCTATCTCTAACTCTCTTTTAGCCCATGCCTGGACATGAAAACTGCCCAGCGATCCAGACTCTGACCCTTGACCTGTATTCCTGTGTGGACTCAGACATATGTTCTTACATTGAAGCTGCCTGTCAATCACTGGAGTATGTTTGACCCATGATCTCCTTCACTGAGTCTGATCCTGGCCTGTAAATTGAGTTCATGGCTTTACCTTAGCCCTCCATCATCACAAGCTTGTCTGGTGACCTGGACTTTGGCTTCATCCTGTTTGCCATCCCCAGTCTGTCTGTTTTGCCTTGCTTGGCTATTGTGGGAAGAGTGAGACTCCTGCCTTGCCAGTCATGGTTACTCCCTTGGTTCTTAAGGAGCAACTGATGCTTGTTGAGCCCAAACAGATAAAAAACTGTAAGATGTGTGTGGGCAACATCCCAACCAGTTGATATCTGTCTTCACTTCCTACTCCCTTTTAGGAAACCCCGTGTCAGTAGGCAGGGCTGCCAGTTCCACCATTCTTGCTTTTGTGCCCCAAGAAGAGGATGGGTGAAATGACACTGACATTGTTGTCTTTTGCGACTTAGATGTAGAATCAATGTAAGCACAAACATCTCTTAACATGAGTGCCTCCTTGGCTTCCTCATGTGTGTGTTTTGAGACTGGAGGTCAAGTTATTTATTTATACCCAAACTTCCTAAAGAAAAGAAATACAACACTTAGGTATCTTGCTACAAGCTGTTAAGTTTGTATTCAGTAATTAATAACTTTGAAGATCATTGTAGTCTACAGTCTGGGAACCATTTCAGGCAGAAGAGTGTCAAGAGGGGCTCCCTTAAAAAGATAGGCAGTGAAAGGAAGAACAGTGAAAATATGATCCTGCTGCTCAATGTGGAGTGGCCTAGTGATGAAGGACGTGGGAAATACCTTCTGTTTTTCTGTCCTTACTGTCAGATCTGTTGTCAGATCTCTCTCATCACTGAGCCTGTGCAGAGCCTAGTCTGCAGGAGTAAAGAGCTACCTGTTAAAGGAAAATAGACCACTCAAGCCCGTTGTTTGTGCACATGTCCGTGAAACAGGATGGGATATGCCCAAGGGTGATGGGAGATCTGCCTAATACCATTGCTGGGCGGTTCTCAGTTATTTTGTATGGCTTGTGACAACTTTGCTGGAGGGAGGTTCCTGATAAGTATAACAAATCAAGCAACGTGTTACCCATTTTCAAAGACAAGGTGATCCACTGAACTGCAGGAGCTTGGTCAGCATGACCTGTTTATTTGGAAAGATAATAGGACTATCCTTGATGCCATGTCTACCTCAGCATGGTAAGGATAAACGTATTTGAAATAGTCAACATGTATTCATAAAGGATAGGTCACTCCTGACCAACCCATTGGTCTCCTATGATGATATGAATTATTCTATGGATAAGGGAAATGTAGAAAAATGTTTAGCGAGTGCTTCTTGACTTGGTTTCTCATTGTATTCTTGGAGCCAAGTTGTAAGGAGGTGGTTTGGATAAGTGGCCTGCATAGTGGCTGGAAGATTAGCTAAACATTTGGCTCAGAGGGATACTGTCTGTGAGTAGTGCCACAGAGTCCGGCTGGCTGCTGATTATTACTGGCATTACTTAGCAATTGATACTGAGGCTGTAATTGTTTACCGCTTTTGTTACTGATTTGGAAAGCATGTAGAAGAATGTAACAAATCTTTGCAGGTTTACATGGAGACACGGAGTTCTCAGGAACCTCGAGAAGAACTGGCAGTGGAAGCTCAGGATTCCTCTCACTTCTAACAGGGGAAGCCACAGATATTTACAAGATCTGGCTTCTGATGATGTAATGAGGTGGAAACATGTAAGTTAGGCCTATTGAGGTACAGGCATTGGCTTGCTGAGATTACCATACAAAAACAGGCAAGGAAGAGACTGCTAGGCTTGTCAGAGGCTGCAAACTGCTTGTTGGCAGTTGATGTTCTGCTAGTAGTGTGTATATGTGTACAGTCTGAGAGTAGAACTGAAGAGCAGCCCTGCTGAGAGGGACTTAGGGTTCCTGGAAGATGAAAAACTTAACATGAGGCTGCAGTGTGCACTCGCAGCCTGGAAGGCCAACAGTACCCTCGTCTGCATCACCAGAGGGGTGGCCAGCATGGAGCGGGAGGGGATTGTTCCTCTCAGCTCTGCCCTCATGAGTCCCCATCTGCAGTAATGCGCCCAGGAGTGGGGACCCAGCACACAGGAAAGCCATGAATGAGGTGCATTTCCAGTGGAAGTTTACTATTGGTGTCCGAAGTGAGTCACGTTTCACTCTTTCTCTCACATTCCTCAGAAAAATTAGAACAATTTAACAGTGGGAAACAATATGATTTAAGAGATTTTGCCCTGTGGGACTTTAGTATCTAACACAGTATTTTACACAGGTCCTTGCAGATGTTCAGAAGGTGTTGCTGAGGATATTAATGATCTGCTTGGTAGACAGCTGGCACACAGAGCTGGACGAAGGCCCAGTAGGCTTATACTGTAGGTTAATACGTGCAAGTGCGCAAACTTTTTTGTGTAGAGTGGGGTTGAATCACGAAGCCGGTTCCAAGGTGGGTCCTGTGAGCCTTAGGGTTTTCCCTGTGTCTGGTGTGCAGTGGGCATCTCGTTGTGGTGTTGCTGCTGTGAGACATCCACCCCAATGTCTGTATCCGTAAAGCCTGAAGTTTGCAATGAGCAGGTCTATTTCTTCAGATCAAAACATGACTATAGCTATTAAGGAGCAAAAATCTGCTCTGTATGTTAATTGGCTCGCACTGCCTTTTCCTTACATCCCTATTAGATACTTGTTGTAAAGAAATTAGCCTGCCATTTTGGTTCCAACCCATAACTTTTGATTCTGGCCAGAATCAAGCATAAACCAGTGAAGATAATTTTCATCTTGTTTGAACTGAGAAAACTAAGGAACCCTTCCTTCCTTCACACTGTGGTAAAGACAAGGAGAACTCAGTCCTCAGACAGCCCATAAATTGACAAATGTGGCTTCCCAACTAGCCACAAGAGATGCTGTCTTGCACCCATCCAGGGAGCAATGTGGGATGCAGTTAGAGTGCAGAATTTGCTCCAGAGAAAATATGGGTTTGAATAGGGGATATTGTAGAGGATCTGCTGATTGCAGTGGTGAGTGAACGTCTCTTTGGAGATGCTGGATG